CATATGAAATTGTCGATGCGCTCTTTTCATCAGATAATTTGCTTGTGTTTTGTGCGGCTGTGTTGCGCTCTTTGTAGCCTGTTTGTGCGCTGCTTACGATTGAAAGTATTGCATCTGATTGGCTTAAATGTTCTTTTCGGAGTTAATGTCTTCAATGAACATTTGTGAAATTATTTAGTGATAAATTTGATTTGATTGATATCTAATCCGACCACTCCGTGTGAGATAGCAAATCTGAAAATTTGGCCTGGTCCTAATCCGTGTTTTGATGGAAATGTCTTACCTGGTGCAATACGTTATGGCGACATGACGCTGTCACGGCTGGTCGGCGTAAGTTATGTGTACACCCGTATTCAAGGCATATGGAGTATAAGTCCAACATTAAAAGAGCAGTTTTGAGATTAAATTAATCCCCACCACTGGACGCAATAATGTACCAAGCGTAATGTACCAACACTCAGGTACCCAATGCTGGCTACGGAACTGATTATGGTATTGTGATGCCGGATGTCCATGAACAGTGTACCGGATATTCTTTGCATATGTGTTTATGTACAAGGCTATTCATTTTTCAGTGCACATGCCCGTATTCGTTTGTGAAATTGACAACTTGGTTGGTTTGAAATGCCACGTTTGCCTTTTGGATGGCTAATTTTTTAGATCAGGCATGCCTGCAGACATAGATGTAAACCTACGTAAAAACAAACCAATTGCACTGGTGCTTATGACCGTTTTGCTATGCAGGTGCTTATGTTTTTCCGGGTGAAATAGATGCAGTGGAGGAATTCCCTCATTCATCATGTATGTCGCATATCCGCACTATGTTTATTTAGACGTATTATGAAGAAACTTGTGGCTGCCCACTGTCGTGGCGACGCGGCAACAACACGATTTGACTAAGGGAAGAGAATTCAGTTGTATGGGTACGCATAGACGTTCTGTTGTTCAGCTGGCAACGCCCTTTCGAGAACGATGCATGAATCAGCCAGTTCTCTCACACATTGCGTAAAAAGTGCTCCGATTTGAGTCAGAGACGTTACATTTAATTCGAGGGAAAGTCTCCGGGGACTCTCTGACAAACGGCCTCAAGATAAAGTTTAGAATTACCTGGCGGCACCAATAACGTACATATGAATATGGCCATATGTGCAGAACGTCCATTAGCCAAGCAGCATCTGCAGTCTGTTTTTATCCGCGATCACCTGTGCACACACAAGTGCTAAATTTGGGAACCAATTGGACTATTAGCGCCGTTGGCGCGGGCAAGTGTCCCCGAATGTGCGTAGCCGGCTGTGGCGCTGAGGCACGTGCCGTCGTAGGTTTTCAGAATTCCGAGAAAAACGATAAAAATACACTACAGTCACGTCGGTATTAAGTAAACTGATGACAGAGACTTCATAAATTTCACGAAAAAGCTTCTTAGAAATAAAAGCGCAACTCAAGAAATTATTTAACATAAAATGATGCGTTCAAACGAAGTGTACGCCGCGCAATGGCCAAGTAATTGTTCAACGCTGTCGTCTGTGCAGTCTTTTCGTAAGGTCCCTTCGTACGTCCTGTTTAATTGCAGCCGCGCCTCGGCGCCGGTGCCAGACGGTCACCTGAAATTTGGGGTGGGGTTAGGACAGCAGGAATGCATGTGCAGATGTGCATCGTGTCAAATTTACACTTCTCACCAATCCATCATTCGACCTGTACCCGCTTTTATAGGAAAAGACGACAAACAAAGACAGACAGGCGCTCCACTCTCCTCAAACAATATATAGACTAGTAAGGTCCGTCGCTTCGCCGAGAGACTGTTCAGAATATTTTGAGGTGGGCAGACTGTTACTTTGACACTTCCTAATCAGCCTCTTCATTGCCGCAACCCATTACTCGCTGAGCCAGGAAAGCCCGCTTACTCCATTGTCAGGCCAAAATTTAAGCCTAAAAAGGCCAGGCCAGGGTCTAAAAAATCGTCATATGAAACAGGCATGATCGTTTTCCGAAACGGTTAGTCCGATCGCTTTGAAACCTTCACTTATCGATTCTGTGCAATGAGGTGAATCAAGGGTGGCAATATGGGAACCTGACCTAAGATGAAACACCTCAAAACCGCGAAGGAACATGTTACGTCCAAAAGCAGGGTGTTCACATCTTAGAACCCACTGCATCGATCGCTGTGATTCCCTCGACATTTGATGCGCCATACCTGATTCGTTCTTGCTTGCAGTTAAAAATTTGGTGACCCTAGTTAGGTCAAAAGGTATCAAATCTCACAAATTTCAAACCTCTTTTCTGCAGACAGCTCAAATAAAATGTATTGCTCCGCTCGTCTCCAAACGTCCACCGTTTGATGGGGCATACCTAGCAGCTGCGATGCATGCCATGAAGCCACCCTCTCCCTTTTATAATGACCATGCGCGCAGGCATTATAGGTTTTTTTCGGTCGTGGACAGTACAGCAATAACATGTCTACATATTTCGTGCGTCAGTGCAAGGGCGTCGTTTTCAATCAACAGCAATCAACAAACAATGTTGAGCAAGCGGGGCTACAATCCCGAGAGAACAGTAGTCGCACATCACGCACACTGACTAGCCACGCACCACCACGTTGACCGTGTATTTGTGTGTGTGTGTGTGTGTGTGTGTGTGTGTGTGTGTGTGTGTGTGTGTGTGTGTGTGTGTGTGTGTGTGTGTGTGTGTGTGTGTGCGTGTGCGTGTGCGTGTGTGTGTGTGTGTGTATGTGTGTGCTCTTGTGTGCCGTGAAAACAGAGGACCAAATCCGGTTACACACCCAACAACCCGTCACTGCCGAGGTCCGGTATTCACTACCGAGGTCCAAATGCCGGACCTCGGTTTTCAGAGGCCTTAAATGAGATATTTAGTCTTGTTTGAACATGTTTATTCGATTTTCAGCTGGTCCTCGAAAAACGTAATTACACGCATTTTTACTTCCGGTTGTGTAAAGTGTGTTATCTTGGACGAACTGCGCGCGTGTGTAAGTTTTTCAGGTGGCAAGGTCACGTGGAAGAGAATAGAGATGAACAAGGAAATGCGAAATCGCGCTGCTCCATGATATGGTCTCATCACTTGTAAGTTGTTTGCGTTTGGTATAAGCATTTAAATCACATTGAATCACGTTGAAACTGGTGATGAAAGATATTAATGTAAATTGTGTTAAGTCACATGGGATACATATCTCTATCGCCGCCATTGCGCGTTCTTGGAACGAGCGCGACGGTGACAGTGCGGTGTGCGGCCTCTCGGACGAGAAGACTGGGCTTACGTTGGATGCAAGTTATTGTCGTCCGGCAAGGTTTTAAAAAGTGAGTAGTAAATATTCGAAAGGGATTGGTGAACCCTGTTTACCGACAAGTGTAGCTAATGGAGGACTGATCTGCCTTGGTTGATTAGAGAATGGTGTGCTGATAAGGATAGTTGCTGAAGTGGCAAACATTGTGTTAGCTTTTGAAGGTGGTTGAAGAGATTGACTTCAGCAATATTATGCAATTGTCTGGGTAGGTTTATCACGCTAGACCAGACGTTTGTAAGGGGGATGCTTGCAGTTTTTCTCATGCATTTGCAGTGGGTGTTGTATTACATTTAAAAAATGTTGCCGTTAGGTACTTACAGACATGTTCCCCAACCCCCTAGAACAACACGTTTTAGAGGCTTTGGGCACCAATTTAGCCTTGAAGGGGAAATCATTACAAACATAAGGTTTTCCATACATCGGAACCTTAGTGTGTGGTAGATACCAGAGCATAAAAGGGTGTGTGCCACATTTGTATGGGTTTCAATTGAAATTAGCCATCTTGAAGATCATTCAGTATGTTACACAGTCCTGCCATTCTTAAGCACCCTTCTAATTTTGTAAACCTTTCTAGTTTCTGATCTACACACCTGCAAAGGTGCGAATATTATTTCGTGGTGACTATTTCAAGGTCACCCAGGCATCCACAACGCGTAATGTCTTCAAATGCTGCCATTTCATTGGCCATGGGGCGATTAAGGCAAGCCATCATATGACCGTTGCGTCGTTCATATCCGGCTTTGTGAATACATTTTCAGACGTAACGACCGTCGGTTGGCTCAAATCAATGTTGTGCAAGATTACGTAGGTTGTTCAGTGCATTAGCATTAGCAGAGGAGCATTTTTCACATAGCTAAGACAATATTAATAGCCTTATTCGTCGAAGAAAAACCGGGAGAATAAAGATATAGTTGAATTGATATTTCGGCAACATGCCTATATCGAAAAAGTAGCAGAAATAAATTCAAAATTGCCTGCTGGTGGCCCTACCCGATTTTTCAGCTTTTTTGGAAATAGAAAGCCAGTTTTTACAGGACACCAACTCTTAGAGGATTAAACAAAAAGTTATTGCTAGCCGTTACCACGATACGGTGCTTATCTAATAATTAGAATAGGTGACAATACGTGTACATGCAAACTAATTCAAGCAAGTAGGCGTCATGCATTACGCTTCATTCAAACATACAAACGAGTTGAGGTTAACAGGCATCACAGTCGCGCATCAATTATACATGCAAGCGATTTCAACTGAACAGACATCGCACATCACGCGTCAGGCGTCACTTCACATGTTAACTATTTTAAGCTAGCACACATCGCCTATAAAGGCACATGTCATGTTCGCAAAATCGGCCAGGATGAGCTTTGTATTAAAAATTTGGTCGCTGATTTTTTGCAAGAATAGATTAAATTTTTCCCTACCTGGGTGGTCCTCTTCTCCGTAGACGACTTTGGGCTCTAAAAGGGGCATAGGGTCCATACCTCCCTCGATTTCAGCCTGAGCATGTTTTGCCAAAAAATGGTCACCGAAAGGGGTATTCCCTGTTTTGTTTGAGTCTATGTCGGGAAGTCCATACGTCCCTCACGTTTAAGATACAATGAACACCTCCGGGGCGCTGAAAAAAAGATACTTAGTCCTTAGTTAATCTCCACCCACTGAATAATTTTTAGCATTGTTGCTGTTTCAGGTGATGTTATAGCTACCGGACATTGAAGCGATTGAAGACCAGAAAGCCTTAGTGCGACCGGCTTGATTCAGGTCAGTTGATGTCAGGAAAGTCAAATTATTTAGGAAATGACTGCTCTGAAGAGGGTGTGAATCATTTGTGACATGTAGAATTTGTTGTCATCAGCTCTAACCTAGCATTTCATGCATGCTTTTCTTTCTCTATCTACCCCATCACATTGTCCAACACTGCCAACACCACTGCATCGTCCGACCCCCACAAATATGCCACTACACTGCCTGGCTCCACCATCCCTATCAGTGCCTTAACCAGTAGGATGTCATTACAGTGCATGACACCATGCACCCCACCACAATGTCTGGGTCTACCCATCCCACCATGGTGTCTGACCCCTCCAGCTCCATGCGAGTGTCGGCTCCATGCAGCTGACCCCATTGCCCTGCCAGTTTCACCAGTGTCTGATCCTGCCAACACCACCAATGTCTGCCTCCCCCCCCCCCCCCCCTACCATTGTGTGACCATAACAGCTCCTGCATGGTGCGTGACCTCAGTGTAACGCCATTTTGGTATCTCATTCCACCATCCTCATCGCTGGTCTACGCAAGCACGTGTCGACTGTACCAGCCCCACTTTATTCTGCAACCAACGCCACCACCACCTGCACCAACACCACTAACATATCGCGGCCTGCAATTATGTAGGTACACCCGCATCCGCGTTATTGAATGGTCTTGTCAACATTTAGTGCTCCTTCTCTTTGGCACCACCGGTGCATGGCGTCATTCTTTAATGAAACATGCAAAAACAATTTTGTTCTCAGGTGGCCTATATGTATACCATTGGGAGAGTTAAAGAAGTTTAGTCCTCTAAAAGAAGTCCTCCGGAAAGTTTACTGCAACAAAGGTAACTCGGGCTATATTTGGGATGCTTAAGGATTTACGCGCAACAGCATTTTCATATGCTATTTGCAATATGAAGCATGATATTCTTCGGGAAGGACAGATTTTGGGGCGTTCGGGTCAAGAGTTCGAGCTCATGGGTCCTCGAGAATATTTACCGCGGGCACGGCTACCCGAAGAACAATGAGAAGCATTGGCGATGGTGGAAATAGGCCTCGTAAGCAGTTTCCCTGCCAAATTCGAACAGGTGGGATGCAGAAGTTGCTTCAAAAAGTTTTTAGTCACTGGCAGTCTCGGTTTTTTCATTGTATGTGAAATGTGTATGGCTTAGGATGCTTGCTGCAACATAGTTTCTTTAATTATTTCCCATGAATGGGACGATTGAACCAAGCCTTGGATCATTACTATATGTTGTTTTACGCATTTTACGCCGGGATCAATGATATATAAAGCATGGTTCTGGTCTGCGCACTCCGGGTAGACCAAAATGCCTGCGAAGAGACCTCGTCTGCGGGGGCTAGACAGACGAGTGTCTCGCAATGGCGTGGAGAAGCCCATCCGCAGCAAGGAGGGGTGTCGGTCTTCCAGCGTGTCACGTTGTCAAAAACAGTTGCGGCGTTGGTGTGCATTGGGGCTGCCTCCCATCTGTTTCGCGGCCAGTATCACGGTGTGACGTCGGATAGTTTCAAATGCGATGGTCAGGTCAGCGGTTTGGTTGTCTGGTCTTTTTGTAATTTTTGTTGAGGCATTCACATATAGCGTGCAATCACACTCACAATATGCACTCGATCCAAAATCATCTATCAAATATATCGTAATGTTTGCATCATGGCGCACACTACCTTCATCCTGCACTACCCGCGATATGGCAGTGGTCAGAAAACTGTCCACTCTTACCAACCAGCCAGTAGACATACACTTGGGCTAGGGGGGCGTACTCGCCCGGGGGCTGGGATGACGGTCTGTGGGCCACCGCCGCCTGTCTGTCGTAGTTTCGTCATTTCTTATTGATGCATTGTTTGAGCTTAGAGGCAATAAGCTTTTTACCACAACTCGTTTCGGTTATGCCTCGCTGTCTTACGACTGTTAACCGTATGGCGTGCATGAACAGCATGGCATTGACAGGGCGTAGTAAGCCTAGGACATCAGGGCATGGACTCGCATTTGCCGCATGCGGTCAGCGATGATACTGGAACTGTTGCTCTTCTCTAAATCGATTCCCATCGCAGCTGTGCGTGCATGGCTACAGGAATGAAGACAGGCACGCCATAGTTTGCCAACGGGCACGCGTACCATGCATGAGGGCCGTCCGAATCACGGTAGCTGCTGATCGCGTTGACGATGAATGTTGGCGACTCTGCTGTTGTTGGCCTAATTTCAGGTTAAGTTCGGCTGCGTGGCTAGAGCTTAGTACGATTTATTGTTGTCCCCCTCTCTCCGCCCCCATCGCCGCCCCATCACTTCCTTCTTCTTGACGGCAGTGCATGAGCTCTAACAAGATGGGTAATATGCACGCGGACGGGAGGCCTGTGGCCTCCGATATTCATTCACGGATTTGCTGCGAGCTGGAAAGCTATCTTTCGGGACACGACTATTGCACAGCTATTTTAATTCCACCACCCGTGAGCCATCAGCGTGGTGCATGCCCACGCTTCTGAACACAAGCACAACTTTCTTTCACGTGGGGGTCACAATCCTGTTCTGAACTGAAATTTCTCATATCTCACCCGTTTTCGGCTTTCCAGATTACTCCCCGAGAGCGACACTCGTTAAGGATGCGAGTATTTGAAGCTCCGCTTTCAAGCATTGGACGGCCTGCAAATTACCATTGGAGCCAAACTGTATACATTTTCTAGATGATCTTAAATACGGAGCGGTATTCTAAAAATGTAGTTGTGCAGTGTGTAGTTCGTAGATTACGAAACAACGGAGCGAGAATACAGTTGGCGTTCCGTTTTGGGTCAGTTATTTTGTTTTCCTTTTTCCATGTTTTAAAGTCGCTGTGCTTTATGCTCAGGATCGAAGCAAAATGTACAGGAGTAGGCTGCGATGTGATGCGTGTTGTATAAAACCAATAAACCAAAAATGGCATCTCTGTCTGCAAAGGGAAAAATCTGGACGAGGTCGACTATCTCAACAGCGCACCAATGGCAAAAGAGGACGATCCGGAGGACATGGGTGAAGACGATTGTGTGGTGGAGGTCGCAAATGTCCTACCTGGACAAAAAGCCAAGAGGGGAAGGGAGACTTGTTTTCGGAGGAGACATCTTCACATCGAGAGACTAACAATGACGCTCAGGAAAAAAAACACCACTGGCAAAAAAGACGTATTGCCTGGTGCAATGCGGAAAAGGCAGCTGTGATGAGGCAGCTTGGCATGTTTGTTAGCCACATGGAGGTTTCTGGCCAAGCTGCATGCTTACGTGCCCTGTCAGCAGAAGATGCTCTGTCCTGGCGCTCATGGAGAGATGTTAAATCCATGTCCATAACGTGATTGTTAGAGCACGTCGTAAGGCGAAATGAGTCTCAGTGGACTTAACACATTAGATGTCGACTTCGTTCACGTTTGGATGATGCTCGCTAGTAAATTTCGCAAGGACAAAAACGATCTCCTTGTTGTTGCTCCCCGTTTATAGTAGCAATCTGTGTAGGTGGAGCTGATGAACGTGTGAAAAAGCAGTGTTCACAAGGGCAGTATGGCGAGATTTGCAATTCTGGGCGGAAGATGACACCTAAGCACGGAAATAGACCCACCCCATTGGTAAAAATGCGTTATACCTGAATGTCAGTTTGGAAAGCAAATTAGGTGTGTCATTCTCCTGTCGCATCTTTCCAATCAGGATTCAATGCAAATGCTTCTTTCTCTACGTCATTTTTGAGATCCGTTGGCAAATCTGACACCACTACACTTAACCAAAGCACACTTGTACATTGGGAAGTGGTGGGCCACAGGGGCCTTTGACTAGTTTTTGAAGACTGGAATGGCGCGTGGGCGTCGACACGAAATCTCGCATCAGCCAACCCGAACGTGTATGAGGCAGCTCGTTTGGCTTCAGTACTGACTGCAATGACTGTAAACGACTGACTCATTGATTTTAGTGTTGCACGGTCCTCCTTCCTCGGTCAGCAGCTGATTGCTACATCCCGCCGCACATAGATTCCACTTGTATGAAAAAGTGCATATGCGTAATTGACACGTATATAAAAAACCCAACCACCAAGCCGTGGAAAGGCACATTTAACAGTATCGTGAGCACGTGACTCACAGTTCATACACATCACGAACCATTACCCACACTCAGTCGCATAAAGGCCATCATCGTAGACCGCTGCATTGACGCCGGCACAAGCCGTATCCCAAGACGGGCTACAAACTGTGTTACCCCACCAATCGCTGCCGCCGCGCACTTCTCGCGCCGCCAGTCACATCCACATCAACCACATCTATTAGAGGCTGTGTACTGTCGCCCTAAGACCCGGGGTTCGCGACAGGGTCGAGCAACACGGGCTTTGTATACTGACTGGAACGCCGACAATGTAGAAGAGACTGTCTGGTCACCTCGAATGAGATGAACGGCGGCTGCCCACCGAAGCACCTGAACTGCAGTAGCTCGGTCAGCAGATAAACCAGTTCCAGCAGCACCTCGAGTCAATTTTTCCACCGCTGTCTGGCGCGTCGCCTCCGTTGCCGCTCCTCAGCCCCGGCCGCCCTCTGCTGCAACCGTTGCAACAGCAGAAGCTTCGGGAAAACCGCCGTCGAGTAGTGTGCCGCCGACCGGGTCATTGATGATGCTTTAGCACTTTAGCACTATTAGTGCTAAAGGGTCATGGAAACCCAAAAACCGTTGGTTGCCCTTTCTCCTACTCTTACCGGGCCGTTGGGGACGGAAAACATTTAGTGTCCCGGGTGTCCAGCGTCGGGGCAAACACTC